CACACACACACAGTGCGACAGATGGTCAGCCTGACTCTTCAGCCTCATCAAGCTCAGTTTATTCTTGATTTCTCACTTTGATATCTTTATTTTATCTTTRAGACAAATTCATATGATGGAAGTGTTCTTAGTTCAAGAGTTATTTCATAGAAAACATTCAGTATTTTGAACTTTTGAACATTTGAACCTGTGTAATCATGTGTTTGTGTATACAAAATACTTCAGGAACTACTGGGTCATCTTAACGACCTGATCAGAAAGTAATCAACACTTTTCACGTTGGTCTTTACAAACAGAAATGTCTTTTTGACTCAGACAGTTTTACAGACATGATCTTAGTCTGAAGCTCTGACATGACAGGTGGCAGGTGATATGCGTTATTATTTTTACTTTTCAAATTGTGCTGCAGCTGTGACAGTGAAACCTGCTCTCTGTGAACATGAACCTCAGTTTTGATGATCAATATTTGCCCTGCAGGGCAGCAGCAGAGCAGTGTTTATTTTTAACAGTTCAGCTGCTGAAATGAGGTCAGACTCAGTCCGATAAAAACAAAAAAACTATTGTTGTTTAWAAGTCTGTAGTCATGGACGTGATGATTTGTGTTAATATGATTAGGACCATGTCCCTGTGATGGACTGGAGACCTGTCCAGGGTGTCCCATGTCCCCCAAACACTGACTGGCAAGGGCACCAGTGTCCCCCATAGCCTAGAGAGAAGGATGCTGGTAAAGATTGATGGATGGTTTATGGATGGTTGGATGGTTGGATGGATGGATGGATGGATGGATGGTTGATGGATGGTTGTATGGATGGATGGATGGTTGTATGGATGGATGGATGGTTGGATGGATGGATGGATGGTTGTATGGATGAAAGGATGGATGGTTGAATGGATGGATGATTGTTTGTATGGATGGATGGTTGGTTGGTTTGATGGATGGATGGATGGTTGGTTGGTTGGATGGATGGATGGTTGGATGTATGTATGGTTGGTTGGTTGGTGGATGGATG